ACCAAATTAATTCCCATGTTTCTGTCTATTTTATGGCATGTAAATTTGACAGCCTTGTCTTAATTTTAATTGTACAGTCAGTATTCTGTAACTAGACTGATCGCTCTGAACAGAGAAAAAGACATGTTGCTTTGTTCTACCATGGCGAGGGGTATTTATCCAATTTTGGCTTCCGACCACTAGCGTACATATTTCCATTGAAAATATGGCACATTCTGGCCGGCTCAGAATTTATTGGATGATCGTCGAACATAAAAGTACTAAACAATGTAATTTAGGTCTCCCCGAGTACAAGTTGTCAGGGGCCCACATGAAGACTGTCAGGTACATAGTTTATTGTTGATCTGAACGTTTGGCAATAATTAAAAAAAAAAAATATTTTGCGTCTGAAGCTTGATAGGATACATCGCGTCTGAGAATATTGCCGACGATGGGTCACAAAAACACCTCCATGAAAGCCCATGGCCAGAAGAGTGGCAAGTATAATCCGGCATAATTATTTTTTAATGTAAAGAAATGTAACATTGTCTTACAAAAGATGAGCGTAGAATAGTATTTGAATAAGAATAGTATAGTAAAGTAAAGAGATAAAAACGCAGTGAAATGTCAAAAAGTTTCTAAAATTTCGTAGGTGTCAGAACCTATTAGCATCTCAACATAGGGTTGTCGGAATATAGGGTTGTCGGAATATAGGAACGTCGGAACATAGGGGTGTCGGAATATAGGTGTGTAACCCCGAGGAGGGATGTGCCACCCCAGAAGGTAGAAATTTTTGAAAAATGCAACCAAAATGAAGTCATTTGGTGCATACTTGGGGATTTTCATTCTTGATCATTAAGAATACAGTACATGTACACACTGGCAGAACCAAAGGCCTAACACAAACGCAGGCTTTATAAGCCTATTATTGATATTTGGGTAAGTCTGGAAAGTGGAGGGTACAGTTGATATTGTGTCCCCCACCCTTCGGAAAGTGGAGGGGGGTGTCCCCCCTGTCCCCCCATGATCGACGCCCCTGTGTCAATGAACCTTTGATAAACACGCATTGTTTTCGATAGGAAGCTTATCACCCGTCATAGTATGACAATCTTCAACAACATACTTAGTATACAGATAAGATGTTATCATGTAAGCCGTCCCAAAGATACACATTAGGCAAATATCCGCGAAACGGCAGCCGTAGTTATTTGTGTTTTAAAACACTAGTTTGAGAAGCGTCTTACCAAAATTTCAATCTTTTGAAAAGCTGGGATAGTGTGTCAAAGTCTGAAGCAAACGTTTTATCGATTTTTGAAAAATCAAGAGAAAATTAAAAAATTCTCTTCTTGCTAATTTAAACCATGGCTCATTTTACAAGCTGTACACATGACCCGTTTGCACAATGTGATTAGCGTATTTTTCAATAAGCTTATTTATTTAAAATTTGTTATTGAAAATTATGCAACATTGATGCCGAGACCACTCTTTAAGTGAAGACATTTTCGTTGAGTTCTCTGCAGAAGACGAACATTCATAAGTAAAAAGTTCAAATTACAGACAAATAGTCAAAACAAAATAGATTAGACCACAGTCCATAGATTCAGAACAATGCGGTATGGTCTAACTGTGGGTTTACATTATTTCAACTTAATGTCGAACAATTTCTGACAGGGGATGTGTAATTCACAAAATATTGCCACAAATCATCAGAGTTATGCACGTGTAAACTAAAAGCCGACAATTAATGACCCACACAGAAAACAGGAGTCCCATTCGTCTATTAAACCCCAATTAATCAAAGCATAAACTCGTTTTCTAAGGCATACACCATACAGTTCTGAACAGAGTCCCTGTAACCCAATCGCATACACAGCCCGTGCTCACTGTTATGGTAATTCTAAACATACGTTTCATTTTTCAGGCATAGAAGATATTATTGCCGTGGACAAAACTTGACAATTTGTTTGCTGATTTGAAAGAGTATATTATAATAGAAGACTGTTTTACAGAAATGGAGAATTTCACCTTGACAGAAAAGCCTTCAAATTCACCCGAAAACAATAACACTGCAAAACGAAGTGCCATCAAGGCGGCAGCGGTAGATTTCGGGGAGAGAACAACCGCTCACGGTGTTGGTCGCTTCACTGCAGCGACGTCGTTAGTTGTACGATTAATCTGGCTCGTCATATGTTTCCTTATGTGGGGAATCTTTCTTTGGCAGGGCTCGCTCGAAGTCAAAAAATACTTTAACTACGATGTGACGTACGATATCGCTGTGGTTTTTAGAGAACTTCCATTTCCAGCTGTCACGATCTGCAACTTGAATCCGTTACGGCAATCCAAGCTTGGTGACTTGGGGACGGAATATTTAAATGAACTGGGATTTTTAGATTTTGATACCACGGATGACAACCAAACTTCAGAATTTGACTGGAATGCCGAAATTGTGAGTAATGTCATTGATTGTATATATCCCTTAGTCATAGTAGGATGGCGGTCACGTGACGATGGTGGTTGTGATGGTAATGAGAATGGCGATGGTGGTGATGCCTTGAAAAATCGTATTTGTCTTTTCAATGGAAGTTGCACCCGTGATTTAAAATCACTCTGAAACTTTGCATAAAACAACAAATATTGCGAAATAAAAAGATGACGTCTGTACATAAAATACCCGATATAATTGCGTCTCCGGCTAATATCGTAATTTCTCTATGACAGCCTGTTGATAGCGACTGGGACGACGATTCAAATTTCTTCGATGGGTTCGATGACGAGTACGCAGCGGAGATTAATCTTACCAGAATCATGTCAATACTAGATCCAAGTCTAAGAAAATCAGTCGGTCACCAATCCAAAGATTTCATTCAAGAGTGTACTTTCAATGGCGGGAAGTGCTCAACTGCGTACGTAGTATTATTTATTACATAATATGCGGCTTTCGTGCCTAAGATGGTTACATGCGTGTTATTATGTATGATATGTATGACATAGGTACTTGCACGTTTATTTGTGGCTTCTCGGATTTAAAATGCACAGTAAGTTAAAATCCAACAGTATATGTGAGCAATCTGAACAACAGTGTATTAAACAGCAGCTCAATTCTGTTACGGTAAATCACGGTAAAACAGCTTCGTGTTATTAGCTATCCTTAGCATGTTTTGCAACGATAATATTGATAATTTGTACATTACACATTGTCTTTGATTCTAAATAATTAATATAGTTTGCTATTGGTATTTGATTGAGTTCGCCAAAATTGCCACGCAAATTTACATTGTGATCGTATCCACTGACATATTATGTACAATATTTTATTTACAGTAATTTTACGTTAGTACTCAATTCCAAATATGGTAATTGCTTCTCGTTTAACACGGGTATTAACGACAGTGAGATCCTCTCGACCGTCCGTCCCGGCCCTACAAGAGGTATGTATTAGCTTGAACAAATATTTTCTACTATGCTACATGTAAAAGAGTTTCAGTCCCGTGATATTTTGATCACCGTGAAGCACAGTTTCTTGTTCTAAGTTATGATCAATCTATTTTTTTTTTTAGAAAGTCGATTGGGTATCAAGGTAGGCGTGCTACACACACTCGTATCATCTCTTGCACACGGTATTTGGTAAAATCATTTTAGTTAAAAAATACCCATTAGTTCAGCAATACTGTCGACAGTCTACAGTAAGCTAGTTACTCGATTTCCTCCAGTGCCTCTAGTATGGTGTTTTTATGCTCTAGTTGTGTGAGTGTTATTAATTGCCCACAAATATCTGTAAACGTTTGGTAGCGCCCATTACTCGTGAATGGGTTTCATTCAATCATTGACCTAGGTACTGTTGTGCACCCGTTAACGCCCCGCGATTGTTCAAGTTAGTTTATATCAAATATTTATGTCTCCATGGAGTTCACTGTATCAAGGGTGTATAATAAATCATATAGATTAATGATAGTAACCCTGATATTCATATAGAGAAATGTTTATAGATGCCTTGTTAATTGGTTAAATGAATCAATGAAATCTCGGGGAACATTCAATTTGAGTTGCTTAAGGCACATCGGGGCTCAACACACCTGTAATAATAACCCCCCTGTCAGTTACCCATATACCTCTTTGAAGAGAAGCACAGAAGGAATTGAGTGCTCAACAATATAGAACTGTCAAGATCCGATCCATCAACGCTCTAATTATATATAGACAGTCATAACCACTGTACCTCATTATGAATTATCCAATGCTGGAATACATTGTTGTCGACACGTGAGTTTTAATTATTGTTATGGTCTTGTAACTTCTTATTTCTCTAGGCCTGACTTTGACGTTATTTATAGAACAGGACGAGTATTTGACTGATTATACCGAAAACGCCGGAGCAGTTGTTTTGGTCCATCCACATTCAATTGTCGCATTTCCCGAAGAGCAGGGTATTGAAGTCCCACCAGGATTCTCAACGTCAATAGGAGTGAGATTGGTAAGTTCCTGTTGGTTTACATTTGTTGAGCATTACTGGCACGATTTACCGGTGCGTCATATACACATAAATGTTCTCACTGTTACCCAAAACCAATTGATAATTTGCATAGCCATCCACTCACAAAGAATTGTCAACATCGTCATTGTCAACATTACAACCAGCTCAATGAGTATCCAAGTTCACGGCGGATAAAGAGCCCTAGGCGTATGACACGATTGGAACTTGTAATAACCATTTATTATATGTCTAGACAGGTTTTAAGCATTCAGATAACAAGCTATTTTTCCCTGTTATACGGTTTTGAAAGTTCGTCGCGTCTCTCTCGGGTAAAGGAGATACTCCCATAGTTAAAGTACGGCACGGCCGAACTGAACTTTTTAAATCACATCTTTTAGATTTTTGGCCATTTTAGTAAAATTCAGGATCCTTTTGGCACAAACAGGCTGCAAAGCAATCCCACCTAAAAATACAGGGGAGAACTGCACCGGGCGTCCCGCCGATATTTTAGCCACTCACGTGATTCTTCAACACGCGAGAGCGTACTAGTAATTGAAGGTAGAATTGTAAATCCTGGGAAAACCGTTTTGACTTTTGACCAAACTGAAAATGTTGAAAAGCGAAGAAATAATTTCACTATAGAAACCCGTGCAAACATATCAATTTAGATTTTTTAGTCAAAAGCATGAAAAGTACGTAAATTATTCATTGTTTGTTTCAATTAACACTAATGGCTTACGACACGACTCTGATCGCTATTAGTGTGACCTGTATCGACGAGTTCAGTCTGTTGAAAAGTTACCAACAGTTACTAATAACATGTTTTATGTATTCGTATCTACATTTGTTGTTTTCCAGTCTGAAATCATTCGAAAAGGCGGTGATTACAGTGACTGCACAGACGGGACAGACATTGATATGTTGTATGATGATGACTATTCGTATTCCCGGGAGGTATGTCACGTGTTTTTAAACCAATTTTCCACTCTAATACACCAGTACAATGCTAAACAACCACCTAACCACAACGGATCATTGTGCATCGTTGAGTTGAATTACAAAGACATTATCAAGGGTTATTTTAGTGCGCAAAGGAATGTATAACAAATAAAACCCAGGTAAGCTATAGTTGTTTATGAACGACGATGTATTGTCACAGTTGGGTTTATTTCAAAGCAAATACAATAACGCTGGTGTGGGTGTTTTGACAACATGCACAAATAAATTGTTACCGGGGCTATGAATGGGGTATTGTGCCCAGATGTTTCATTCAAGTTGTACACGTGTATCAGTCTTAAATTGTGAAGCATTATACATATGTATCCCAATTAAAATGGCGGATTTATGCAACGTATTTGGTTGAAAAAATTACCCATTAGATCGCAGTACCTTCATTATAGGTATACTGTGGGTGCGTTTGCATCTCAAAGTGTCAATAAAGTGATGGAAAGTGAGTTGTCCTACACATAGTCATGACCACTAGTTCATTCAACGGAGCTGTTCGTCGAAAAATCTGGTTCAAAATGAATTTCTTCAGACATGAGTAAATTTTACATTTTATAGCTGGAGATTTAAAAGATGTTAAGATTTATTTTTTTATAATTTAGGATATGGGTTTTTCAAAAAAAAAGTGAGAAGAAAATTTCTGTCAATGTTTCTAGAATAATAGAGGCTGGGGGAAATTAACTTTGTGATGTTGCGTTGTTTGTACGATGCACATTTGAGCGTTCATTTCATCTATTCCAGGCGTGTCTCAGTTCATGTTTACAGCAAGCTCTGATCGATACGTGTTTATGCTATGAACCAACTTTACCTCATTCAGCCGATGTCGAAATGTGCAGCAAGGTATCCGGTGGTAGTAAGTAAATCTAATATTTGCGAGCTCTGACGTCACGTCGCAATTCTGTCGCCATACTTGTTCAGTCTCGTTCGTCTTTCAGTACTAACTGAAAAGTCCACATCGAATCATCGTCGAACAGAATGTCATGTGCACCAGCAAACCGCAAATACTCAATCATAAACAATCGTATTTGTCAATATTTAATATTAAGTGTACCATACTCTAAAGGGGTCACATACACAGGTATTGCGTCCTAGGCAACCGTGACAATAACAACATACGTTAATTCACTGGTATAGATAGAGCGCGAGCACGTCAGCCCACAAGGACTCTTTTTGGCGTATATTTCAACTAATACAAATCAATCTTGGGAATTGCAGCAACGTGCCAAGCAGGTGTCACGAACCAACACAACAAAAATCAGCTCGGCTGCACGGATACATGTCCTCCTTCTTGCAAGTAAGTATGTGATCCCGATAACATACACTATATGTATATCAGCTTTATTACGTCATTGTAGTACGTCATCATTTATGTAAAGCGCGTGTTCGATTTTTTTGATTTTGATAGAATGCTGCTCTTGCGTTTTTGACCTATTTTACCGCGTATGTAATCAGGGACAGTATTTTGCGCAACAATTATTCGTTTTAGTATTAGTGAACAGTACGTGGACTTTAATAGTGGCATCCATAGACAGCAGTGAAAACATGTAAAAGTTAAATTCATTATAAATAATGTCATTTTATAATACTTCTAGACTTAAAGTACACTGCAAGACGCTATGTATCATGTGTTCGCCCTATGTCACCGATCAACAATTTAAATATTGCGACGTTTTCTACCCATGGATAACAATGTTTAAATTTCGCAAAACAGACAAATCATGCTAGTTTCACTCCATCGTTTACATCAACTTTATCCGAGCCGAATAGTACCCCTTAGTTTTATCGCTTTCTCCATCCTTGTGACATGAAATGTCACATATGTGGAAAAGAACATTATTTTTAAAATAATTAACTTTTGAGCAGTGTTCCCCACATTAAGGTCTTTTGTGGCAATTCGACTTATCCAATACAGAAGAGCGAACTAATGATATCGCGTTTTGTTGTTGCCATAGACACGTGTTGTCGACATTTTTCTAACCCAGCACGAGATATTTTGTTGAAAGCAAAACTGTCGAAAAAATACAATTGAAAAAAAGGATCTTTTTGGAACTATTGCTACAGGAACCCATGTTTATTAAAGCATTATTTTATAAAAAGAAATAAATAGTTTTCGTCAGAATTACATAATATAACTCTGAATAACCATATAAATATTTGTACCTATGTACTAGGACAAACATTTGAGATATGCTGATTTTTGTACTATAGGAATTAACGGTA